GCAGTGTGGGGGGAGCTATTTTCCAGCAGGGTGACTGCAAGGTTGAGCCAAGAGGGTTTCTTTCTGTTCTGCTGAAGGATGGGATGAGACCTGTGGGTGTTGAGTACAAGGAGGCAGGCAGTCGGGTGGCTGGCTGCAGCTCTGATATCCCTGCATTTCAGTGCTGGAAGTGGTATTTGAGACTGTTCATCTACCTACTCCTCTGCCCTCTCGCTTCACTGCCCTTGCAGAAGTCCAGTATGTCTGACAGCTTAAAGGAGGTTGCTGACATTGCAAGGACCTCATCATCATGAACAACTTCTGGACTGCCTCTAAGTCCTGCTTATGCAGCGTCTAGTCCATGTGCTGTTGGTGTACTCATTGCTGCTGAGACACTCCTTCTGGAGAGCGATGTAGGCTCTTTAAGTTGTTTCTCACAGAGAAAACCACATGGAGGATTGCTGTGAAAGGATAGCATCGTATTTTTTAGAGTGGCAATTACTGGGCTATTAAAAAAAAGCACCAACAGATTTTTTTATTTATTGTTTCACAATGCTTGGTGTGTTTTGTTTGTTTTCCCCCCAGCCTAGTTCACCTGTAGCTTTGCTTTTGCTCCTTCTTTACCAGTGCTGATGTCCCTTGCATCTGCATGCTGTTTGTAATTTGTCTTTTTACTCAGTTACTACTGTGTGCTTTTTCTTTCTCTAGGGGCTGAGGTGAATGCTTCCCCACTCTGGAACTTAGCACAGGTAAAAATGGAGCCACAGGAAAATGAGGAGGCTAATGTACATGGCCATGCGGTCCTAGGCAGCGATGTCTTTGAGGAACCGATGTCAGGCATGAGCGAAGCTGGGATGCCACAGAGCCCCAATGGCTCTGAGAGCAGCTACGGTTCTCATTCTGCTGACAGTCTGATGGGATCCTCGCCTGTCTTCAACCAGCGCTGCAAGAAAAAGATGAAGAAGATGTGAAAAAAGACAGTCTTTTTATTTAGTTCTGATGGTATGTAATAGACTTGGAACAAACTAAGAGAGTACTGTGATGGCTATGATTCATAAACAGGGCTGGCCCCGGTGTATGAGGGACCTTGCATAAAATCATTATGAGAGGTTTGGTATGTCGTGCACTTCAGCTCCTCTCTTTGCTGGCTTCTGTACTTCATCCTGACTCATGAAATTGAAGATCACCCTATGTATTTGATGGTGGCGTGGCTTGCTTTGGCAGATAAATGAGGAAGTTACCAGTGGAAAGTAGTTGTGAGGAGATTTGCTAAGTCATAGAATCATTGAATAATTTGGGTTGAAGGGACCTCTTGATGTTTCTAGTCCAGCCCCCTGCTTGAAGCACAGCCAACTAGAGCAGGTTGCTCAGGGCCTTGTCCATTTGAGTTTTGAGTATCTCCAAGGATGGTGATGCCAGACCTCTTTGGGCAACATTTTCCCATATTTGACTACCCTCATAATAAGAAAAAATATATTCTTGCATCTGGTCGGAATTTCCCATGTTCCAACTTGTGTTCATTGCCTCTCGTTCTGTCACTGTTCATCTCCGAGAAGAGTCTGACTGCCTTCTCTAACCCGTGCATTAAGTGATTGTATACAGTGAGATCTCTATTTAGCCTTTTCTCTTCTTCAGTGTGAAGAAACCAGGCTCCCTGAGCCTCTCCTTGTACATCCTGTGCTCCAGCCCCCAACCAGCTTTGTGGCCTTCCACTGAAATTGCTGCAGTGCCCTTCTTGTAAGGGGGAGCACAAAAGTGGATGCAATCCTCCAGATATGGTCTCATGAGTGCTAGATAGAGAGAAATAATAATTTCCCTTGATGTGCTGGCTACACGCTTGCTGACTGTTGCGGGCAACAAGACAGTCTTAAGTCAGGGTGTTTCACTGGTTGGGGAGCTGTCGCTGATGATGATGATGACCTAGCAAAGGTGCTGTAGAGTGGCCTCACAGTGCCATCAGCCAGCTCCTTCAGTGCCTTCAGATGCATCCTGTCTGGTTCCATGGACTTATGTATGTCCAATTGGCTTAAGTTCTTGCTAACTCGATCTTCCTCTGCAGTAGGTAATGCTTTATTCCCACACACTCTGCTAGAGGACCCAGGGACCTGGCAGGCCTGAAGGCAGACCTTATCAGTGAAAATGGGCAAAAAAAGGTGTTGAGTACGTCAGCCTCAAAGTAAAAGAGTGTCCTTTGTCACCAGATTGCCTGCATTGTTGAACAGTAAACCCATGTTTTCTTTAACCTTTCTTTTGCTTCCAGTGTACTTAAATAAGCCCTTCTTCACATTTCTTACCGGTTTCGACTCCGGCTGAGCTTTGGCTTTCCTAACTGTCCCTGCATGCTTGGGCTGTGTCTCTATATCCCTGCTGCCCAGCCCATACTTTTTCTTTTGTGTTTGAGCTCAGTCAGGAGTTCCTTCATCACCTGTGCTGGCCTTCTGCCATGCCTGCTTTACTTTCTGCTCATCAGAAAGGACTGTTGTTCTACTTTGAGAAAGCTGTCTTTGAAGATAAGGCAGCACACCTGGGCCCCTTTGGGAGGCCAGGGCAGTCCCTCATGAGATCCTGCCAAGACATTCCTTGAATAAACCAAAATATGTTGTCCTGAAGGTCCAGGACTCTGTCTTGTACGTGTTTTTCAGGATTTTAAATGCCACAGTTCCATGTCTGCTGCAGCCAAGGCCTTCACATTCTCCACCAATTCTTCCTTGGTCTTGGAAACAAGCCCAGCAGAGCTTCTTCCCTAGTTGATTTCTTAATCATCTAGTCAGGGAAGTTGGTGTGGTTCTCTGGAGAGAATGAAGCAGCTTTTACTATTGGTGTGAGCCAGTACTGGCAATGCAAACTTTTCCTTTGCTCTCATTGGATTGAGTGCAGCAACTTCAGGCTGGCTGAGGTTTTGTATTCAAAGTTGTTATCTTGACAACTTAGACTGAAACAGAATCTATTTTGCTGCTTGCTTTTATGGCTCAGCTGACTGATGGCATTTTTTTTGTTCTGCACAATTCTCAGTTGATCAACTCAGTCTTTAACTTGATTCAGTAGGTATCTCTCTTGAAAAAGCTAGAATGAACATGAATCAAGAACGAACAGCCACTTAAACTGGCTTTATACCTGTAACCCATTGGGATGTTTGAGGGAGATTTACCAAACCTCCCATTTGTCCTTGCAATTGCAAGTTTATCTTTTGAAAGAATGAGCTCCAGGCATAGTATTTTTGTTTCTGTATAACATGCCTAGCCTTAATTCTTTTTTCCTTACTGTATTTCTCTTCCACTTTATAGAAGTGGAAGACAAACATAAAATTCCTCAATGTCTAATAAGAATGTGTGACCACAGGCTTTAATGGACATTGGAGTTAAAATTGTCCATCACATTTTTAAAGGTTTCTCCTGGGGGGTAAATTCTAGCTATTTGAAGCCTGGTCAGTAGTAGAAGAGCGTACCAGTGTATCAGGAAATCTTTATTTTGATTCCCTCTGAGCCACCATTAGGCAAGATGCAATGTCCCTGTTTTCTCAGCTGTAAAAAAAGAACAGTAGTATTTGCCTCTTAGAAGTGTGTTTGAGATTTAGTTACTATTCAAAAAAGGCACTGTGATCATTCAGAGAGTTTTGTGAGAGTCGTGAGCTTTTCTTCCATTTCAGTAGGACTGTTGCTGGCTGGAGAATGCTTAGATGGACACTGCAATGTTACAGACCTATATGATACTGGTTTTAAGCAAAATCGCTTATCATGAAGAAGTACAGCACAAGTGTGCTGTTCAACTGCCCAGGTACAAGGAAGGCATTTGGGGCGGTATCTTCTCATTCGGCTTTATATGTCTGCATCTAAATTTGTTCCTCTCGGCCCCATTTGCAGCTGAAGAGAAATAGTCATTCTTAGGTCACCGTTCATCTGGCCTTGAAGTAAAAGCAGGTCAGATGAATGGCATTTTTAGAAATGTCTATTTTTCCTTTGTGTGCCCATAAAGTGAGTTCAACTGGACTACCTCAGCTGAAGACATCCACATCGTCGTTTTCTGAGTTAAGTGATCTGACTTTAGCCCTTCCTGTATGGGAATCAGAGGAGACTTCCTCCTGCTGGGCCGATGCTTTTTCTTTTCTACACATTTAGTAGAGCTTGCCATTCAAATGGTAGTACGGGGCTAAAAGCAGACTGCCCATCTTACCTAAACCAGCAGATCCAGTGTTTTCCACAACACACAGAATGTACTAGGCTGGGGCCTCGAGGCTCAGCCTGATTTGGCCCTTGTGTCTTTGATACTGTGAGAACACCTGTCATTGGGCCTTTCTCCATAGATGCTTTGCCAAACTGTTCTAGTAAAGTATTCTTGAGGCCGGGACACCTGTACAAAGTCCCTCGCAATATTTTCCGGAGCTAGAGGACAGAGTGACTGCTGCCAGCATCGCTTGCTCATTTGCAAGATTTCAAGTGGGCTAAAAATGAAAATCTAGTGTTCTCCTGGGCTTTGGTTAAACCTCCTAAGCGTCAATTTTAAGTGCTTTCTTTATATTGCTCACGTACAGATGTTCTGTCTTACTTTTAATTGTGGTTTTTTTATTTCACATCCCTTTTCCACACCCATTTCACCCTGTAACACACACTATGCAACAAGCCAAGCCTGAGTGTTTAAAATATATTTAAATACAGTGGAAATTCACCCTCCTTTGATTCAGCTGTGTCATTGCAGTGTGAGAGAGAAGTGTTATTGATTCTCTTTGGGATGCATGTTTATGCAGAGATGAGAAATGCATCGTCATCGCTTGTACATTTAAAAATGATGGCAGAGTAAAATCTGTACCTCCTGTTCCCCCATTATGCTGAGTGTTGCTTCTGACATTTGTGTGGACATTTCCTTTTATGCATGTGGAAGCTTTACCTTCTGAGTGAGCCCTTCCCCTCTGAACCTTTACAGTCCTTAGATTTACAGTGGTGTTCATCATGTATGAAATAGTGAAATTTCAAATCTAGCTCACTAAGTCAGCTACCGACAATATGCTCTTTTGATGAATCAAATAAGATTTTGCTAGGTGTTAGTGCAGCCTTGGGCAACTAGCGAGGACTTCACTGACCATGTAATCCCCAAATTTTAAGCCACAGTGAGATTATGCAGTGGGTTGGAATGAAGCTGTGCTCTCGCAGTTGTTGTTTTTTGCTGATCGCTGCTAAAGCGCTCTGCCGACCCACCTGCTTCAGTAGTCTGCTGTTTTGTTGGTTCTTTCATCTTTCGCCCTTCTCTTTCAAAAGGTGGGTGGATGGCAGATTGGAATATTGAGTATTGACCACATCCATATCCAGTAGCATTGATGTCTGTAGTGATTTATTTTGCCATGATTGAAATTGGTGGGAACTTTGGTATCAATTTGGAGAGCAAGGTCTGTGAATTACTTGGCTTTTGAAGTGTTTTGCATGGGAATCATACAGGATTGTAGTTGAGAGAGTGCTGTGTATCATATTCCTTTTTCCTTCTAGCAGTACCTTTTTATTCCTTTTGAAGAGTTTTGCCTGCTATCCAACAAAGTTCACTGCATAAATGGCAGTGTAACAACTTCAGTATACAGCCGTATGTCAGACTGTGCTACCTAGTGATTTAATTCCAAGACCATCCATGCTAATTTGAGTATGCATAATGCTGTGCAGAAAAAGAGATGTTTCCTGCATAGAAATTTACAATTTAAAAAGAAAACAGGGAAATAAGATTAGGTAGGGTAGGTGAGGCCAATCTGATTATGTGCTCAATTCTGAGACTAATGCACGTTATGTGTGAAGGATGTTATACTTAAAATGTTTTTGTACATGCATGTGAATGAAATATGTAACTTTGCTTGTGTTTATATGGAACAAAATTGCTTGGCAATATTTCAGGGTTCTTTTTTTCCTTGCTCTCCTGGAGAGAGTTTCTTTGTAATTTCTGAGAAAATAAACTTAAAAAATTATTCAGAAATAAAAATCCTACAGGTGTTGTGTGGATTTTTTTTGTTTGTTTTGAAGAATGGTGCTGTGA